CCCCCCCTTTTTTTCTGATGAAAGGAACAGGAGACGACAAGAAATGAAGTTGTATACTTGAATTTGGGAGCATTATGTTATCATGGCACTTAACACTAAAGAAAAATATATATGTAGTGCCAATGTGCAATCATGTCAGTCTAACATTCCTTGTCGATTATGAACGTTGATTGTATCTGCAATATTTCTACAACTCGCCCAACATCCTCCAACATTCTTTCCTTGCAAGCGTTTTCGAGCATTGCCCTGAAGTTTAAAACAATATGGGATAATGATGATGTAAACAGCAAGAATGGGTGTGGCAACAACCGCTCATATATTGCTTTAGAATTTGTTTATTTTTTTTTTTTTCAGTGTTGCTATTTTGTTAAGTCATAATCAATAATCACAAGTCCTTGTACCTTTAATATATCTTCCCAATCTTTTTTTTTTTCCTTCCTCAATTAATTTATTAGTGGTAGTTTGTTGAGATCTGGTCTGTTTCTTCTTAAGATGTAATGTCAGTAGAGGAACCAAAAATGCATGATTAACAGAAAAAATAAAAAATAAAAAGAAAACAAAAACATCTGATTATTTTAACAACCCATTCTAGCATATTATCTACTACTTGAATAAAATGCTAATATACCCCCTTCCTTTTACCTTTTCATTTATGGCATATTTCTCTACTTCAAATGATCAAGAGATTGTGAAAACACACACAAATGAGTTGTTATTGAGTGAACTGAAATCGGCTCAAGACTGAAGGTTTCAAGTTGGAATCTCATTTATTATTAAAAAAAAAAGGAGATAGTACAAAAAACTCTACTACGTTGCTTTAGTACAAAAAACTCTACTACGTTGCTTTAATAACATGAATACAAACTCTTTTTATCATAAATGTTTGAAGCATAATTAGGTGACATTACTTGACAGTAAAGGGGTATTTAGTTCGTAAAATTTTAGATTTCAAAAATAGAAAGTGATTTTCGAGAAAGTATTGATTCATGACAAAGAGTGATTTTTCATGACATGAAATTATTAAATTTCTATATTTTGTTTAAAAAAAAGTCAAATTATTTAATAATTTATTTTTATTATAATGTCTTTCACTATATAATAAACATAATAATTTGTAAAAAAAAAATTGACAATTAATGCATTTCAAATCCGCAATATTTGAGTGGCTAACTATAAAAAAATTGGTTATCAATTACTATGTTAAGTTCATCCAAGAAACGCAGTAAATAATTTACAATTATTATGTTTCAAAGCCTAAAAACATAGGATCCAAGTGAGATATTAAAAAAAATTTCAAAATCAATTACTATGCTTCTATTCCAAAAAATGTAGTAAATACGATAATAATATGCAATCAAGTTGCATTTTGGAATTCCAAAACTCTTACCCTCATGTTTATGATGGTTGGGGTGAGCTACTGAATGTCATCTTCCCTTGTTTTTTTTTTTTTAAACAGAAATTTATAAAATTTTGTATTAAAATAATTAAATAAAAATTAAAAAAATTAAAAAAATAAATTAAAAGTAGATCATACATAAATTGTGTAAAATTTCAAAAAAAATTTATATATTTTTTAGATAATTATTTTTTATAAAAATTTTAATAAAATTTTTATTTGTTGAATAAATATTGATTATTGATTTTCTTGTTAAACTCTATCAATTCATCTATTTTTATTTTTTATTAAAATTTTAATTAAATCATTATTATTAAAAATTGTATAAATTTTACCTAAAAATTTTTTTAAAAATTATTAAATACACTAATAGTAAAGTTTTTTAATTATACCAGTGAGGTTAAAATGATAAAACATATCTTTTATATATTTAAAATTTCAATTCAAAAAAAAATAAGACATATGTCATCATTTTAACCCCATTTATGAGTTAAAAAATTCATATACTAATGTATCAAATAATTTTTTAAAATTTTATCTAAATTTTATCCAATTTCTTTCTTAAGTACTTGATCAAGAAAACAAACTTATAATAATAATAATAATAATAATAATAATAGTTTTCTCCCTCTCATTTAGTTTCCAAAATTAGTATTCCACTTACGTGCCAAAACTATTTTGGCTTGTTCATGGTTTCCGGGCTTTAATCAAAAGATATATATATATATATATATATATATATATATAAATAATAGAATAATAATAAAATAAGTAAGAAGAAGAGAAAAACTTGTACCCTGTTGTCAACGATTTGGTCAACTGAGGGTGTAAGTCATTGGGAAACGTAGTGACAAGGCAATAACGTTGCTCACCAAATAATAAGGCAATTAATGTGGTTAAATACTGTATCGCTTTGAACAAAAATATAGTAAATAATTATTATTATTATGTTTTAAATAGTACAATTCCAATATTGAGTGTAAAAAATAAAAAAAAAAATTAACCAATTATTTGGTTAGCAAATACTGTATTTATGTTCAAAGAAACGTAATAAATAATCATAATTATTATGTTTTAAAACTTATAAACGTAGTATTCAAATGAAAAAGAAAATTAATGAGTTATCAGATATTATGTTTATGTTCAAAGAATCATAGCAATAGAAACATAATAAATAATCACAATTATTGTCTTTTAAAGCCTACAAATGCAATATTTGAATAAAAAATATAAAAAAGATTTATGAGTTGTCAAATAGTATATTTTTGTTTAAAAAAACAAAATAAATAATTACAATTATTGTGTTTCAAAGCCTACAAATGCAATATTCAAGTGAAAAAATATAAAATCTCAATTAAAAAAATTTTCAAATTAAAAGTAATCAACAATTACTTGATTTTCATATGTTGATTTTCATGAGGTAAAATACAAAGTAAAATTTTTTATTTAGGTCAAATGTGAGATAAATTTTTTTTTTTTTTTTGGAATCTTAAAAAACTACAAAGAGAGAAAGTTTTTATTCTGGGACTTTTGAGTACTATTGTGAATCTAAGATTATCCCTAGAAATCAAATATTTGTGAACCAAACGTAGGAATCACAATCCCACAAGTAAGATTTTGCGAAAAAATCTTATATTCATTTAAATCAAACATCTCTTAAGAGTGCTAGGTGAGTGGTATTTTAGCTGGATGCCATCTGTCCTTATGCTTATCATCCACCTTAAATAAATAGAGGAAAAAATGCAACTACAAAAGTAGTTAATCCTACTTCAATCTGGATAATATTTCTTATGTTCTAAATGTGTCACTATTTTACACTCAATAATATCGACAAGACATACCGAAGGAAATTGTGCATAATGTACAAAGTACTAGCAATGAAATTTTAAAAATTTTCAATTCCTCAAAACCAAGTTCAATCAACAAGATCATACAAACTTGATATTTACTTTTGATTAGAAGTATATTACCTCTTGTGCCGATTTTTCTTAACACCAAGCAAATAAGATCACAGAATTTGTTTTAGCAAGCCAAGAGCTGTCTAAACGTACAACCTTTAATGGTGATCCACACAAACAATTATAAAAAAACTTTTACAAAAATGTGAGAAACAAAACCAATATTCTAACTAGTGAGTATTATAAAACCCTCTCTTTACTTTTTCTCAAGTTTGTTTTCAACACGAGATGAAAGTGTATCTTTTATTCTTCTTAGAAGAGGGATAGCTAATGTTCCTTATATAGAGAAGGGTTCGACTACTTTAGGGTTAACATAAGACAACTTAATTCTCAATTAATCTTTATACATGTCGATTGTTATAACAAGTAGACATTGCATCTTTTGTTAATTCTTTTACCTTTGGGTTTAATCCAATCCAAATTAAGTCCAATTTAATTTGTCTTAATTTTAATTTTTTACAATTGTCTTATTGTGTGTTACCCGTTAAATTTCTTAGCATGTTGGCATTAAACACAAACATTGTAATCCTTATGTTCGGACTTAGAGAAATCAAATCTTTTGACTTTATCTATAATTATCTAATTAGTTAATTTTATATTTATAGATCATGATTAATGCTAGCTATATTGTCAAGACTCCCAATTGCTAAAGAAAGTCAATGTGGCTTGACAGTCTATCCGTGCATGGTTTTAATGTATAATTAATATCCTTTAATTACTAAACATCTTGGCTTGAATATTAAATATGATTTAGTATCTACTCAATTTTATTCAATCATGTTAAGTCTTGTTATTGACATTAACTCACAAATAAGTTTTAAAATAATTCTAAGCTCTTATTTCACTCTAGTAAAAAATTTTTAAAGTTAATTCAATGAAAACTAATTAAAATACTCTCTTAATCACACAAGATAACGAATTCTATCTTAATTACTTCATACATTTTTATATACTTCATATACCTAACTATACCTGACTAGAGCATTTGTAATTAAAACTATGAGAAAAATAAAGTTAAAATATAACACTCATCATATAAGATCATAAGTAATATTAAATTAGAGGATCATTTATATAACCATTACATAATAATATAGCTATAGACACTATGTGAAGTATTTTCATTTTGGGTCATGTTCAATGAACTTATTCTTATAAAAAGTACTCACATATTAACTTAAGTTTACCTAAACTTTTAACTTATGAGAATGGTTGCTTGCTACTTGAGTAAGATATAACCATATGCTAATCTCAATGGCTTTTGTCAATGTCATCCTATTGATAAAATATTGACTAGGAACTTTAAGTATAGTTTTTATGAAATAAGGATCTTACAATTACAATCTCATTATAATTTTCTTACAAAAACTTTGTTTATATTTCGAAAATTTTGTCATATAAGTTTTAATATATGTATATAAGTTTAATGATAAAAAATAATTAAGATCTTTATAAGATATCAAATATCATGACAATGTTTTTCATCAAAATTGATTTGGCTTGAAAGATAACATACCAATACCTATCGGTAAGTAGATTTCACGATATTGACAAGAGAGTTGGATGAAGATTGTAAAAATCCTTTCCTGGCATAGAAATTTGGTCATATACCTCCGTTAGTATGTACTATAGTTGCAGTTATTGAATGTAAACTTATTAGATATTAATTCTTAAAAGTAATGAAAAAATTGATCTAAACTTCAAATTCAAAAAATTCAATGCTTTCATTTCTATTTGACTTTATCCCTTTAATCTCTCGATCTCATAATTAAGATCAGAGAGAACAGCCACTTTAGTTAGGATGAATCCTGTCAATTTGCAATAGGGACATGTCCATTAGCATAAATACCAAAAAGTAGGGGGTCCATAATCCCAAAGTAACTGAAAATTTAAGAAGCCCAAGCGACCAAAGTAAAGTTAGTCCAAAAGATTTATAAACACCTCCAGAGAAAGAATCCCTTGCCATCCTCACAAACCCATCGCAAACAAACACATAAATCCTCCTTTCCTTGCTCAGGGGCATAGAACACAACTAGTCAATTGCCAATTTGTCATGGGTTTTGCAGAGAGAGTCGTGGCTCAGGCTCTTCTGGTTATGATGGCTGCCTTGCTGCAGTTGTCCCATGCAGCTGTTTACAAGGTTGGAGACTCTGCTGGTTGGACCACCATTGGCAATATTGACTACAAGCAGTGGGCTGCTACTAAGACCTTCCAAGTTGGTGACATTATTCGTAAGTTTCCCTTCAGTTTTGTGCTTACTTGTGCTCCATTTTTCTTAATTGAATACCCTGTTTGCCAATGGTTTTCTGGGTATACTCTCTTATTTCCTCTACTGGGTTTTAATATTCCTTACAGTAGCTTTGTTCTTTAAAAAGCTGTTTTTACCTCTACTTTCTTCCCTTTATGGTCCACCTCTTGCAATTATTTTGTGTTAAAGCTGGTGCTGGAATTTCCACTTTTCCACGAGTGAAATTCCAAGCAATTTCCCACAAGATCTCCCTCTGATTTACATAGTTCTCTGATAAATGTTCCCTGTATGTACAGCCATAGACAACGCCTAGGATATTTTTATATCCCTGTTCTGGCTTTAGGGTACTATCCAAGACCTGATCCTTCTTTAGCCCTGGCTATGTCTGTTTGTTTCATGGTCAATTCATGACCCATTGATTTCTCCCATCATCCGTCTTACCTCAAATGGACTTGGTAGGAAACTTCTGTTGTTGATTACAGCATGGACTGGAAGACACGTGGATTCTTACAATAATACACTTAGAAATCAAGCGTACATTGTTTTTAATCGTCCCAATGGGCACCAACATCCAACAACTTGTCGGGGTCCAATAAACAATTGTGGTCCCCCAACCCACATTATTTTCTCCAAACCCCACTTTCTCTGGCCTTTCTCATTAGCTGTCACTTCACCCCATTGAAAGCTTAGCTAAAGTTTGCGATGTCTGGTAGGGTATCAAATCCATCCATTCAATGTTTGCCTAAAATTACAAAAAGTGACTTAAAAATATCTTTATCTTTCTTTTGATTCAGACACTGTTTTTTTTTTTTTTTATATATATATATATAACTATCAGATATTTACATTCCTTTGTAAGATAGAAACACAGAAACATAGAAAACACAGTATATTTCAATCAAAATTTAGAAAGTAGTTTGTAATATATCTGATATAGAGGTATACACAAGTAACCAATAATCATAAATTATTTTTGCTTAGAGTTGACAACTTGAGTTATTATGAAATTTTGGGCTAATAGCAAGGTTGGAAAAATAAGCTTAATTATGGGACAAAACTTTATTATTATGCACAACATACTTTTTTGGTGGAAAAATCATGGGCCCTAGCTGTGTATTCATGCTTGATTATGTACAATAATGCCTTAAAGTTTTCAGCACAGTTCTTAAAAATATAATTGGATCCCCTAGCTGTTTGTGAAGATTCAATGACAATGGGGCTATCCGGTCTAGAATAATTCACAGAAATGAATATTGAGAGAAAGAGATAGTACTTCCCAAATTTATTCCACAAGCCAATTTAAGATTCAAGGAAAGAAATTCTACTGCTTAAGATTTTGGTACAGTTATATAGATCTGTTCTTCATTGTCACAATTTATCTAATTCTTTCAATGACACCAATGTTAATGGCATACAGATTTTGAGTACAATGCTCAGTTTCACAATGTGATGCGAGTAACCCATCCCATGTACAGGGCCTGCAATGCCTCAGCTCCTTTGGCCACCTATAACACCGGCAATGACTCCATTAACATAACCACAAAAGGCCACCACTATTTTTTCTGTGGTGTTCCTGGACACTGTCAAGCTGGACAAAAAGTTGACATCAACGTGCTTCGCTCATCTGAAACAGCTCCATCTCCAGCTCCCTCTGGACTGAGCCCTTCTTCAGTTCCTTCGGTCGGTGGGCCTGCACCATCGCCAAGCAGCGCTATCTCTTTGAGAGCTTCCAAGGGGAGTTTTAGTATGCTTGGTTTAGCAATGGCTGCTTTTACAGTTTTTGTATGAGGTTTTCATTAAACAATTTTAGTTTGGTTGTTCTATGGAATTATATTGGGGTCTTTTGGCGGACTTTAAGTAATGGTCAGTATATTTTATAATGTCATTGGTTACAGAGACATGTATTCCTCGTGAATATTAATAATTGTATAAATATGATACTGAGTAGCTACTTTATGGAAGAAGGCCTGCTAAAGTGGCACTTATTTTGGCTTTTATTATTGTTTTTTGTCTCAATAAGTTATGAACTTAAGTTCCATACGTAATAATTGAAAATATTTCTTGAAGGATTCAAAATTAAATCCATGTCCAACAATTCAATTGACTTATCAAATCAAGTCAATTATACAAAGTTAAACCAACATATACAAGAGTAATGATAGTCAAGGCTTCAAATAGCGGTTTAAAAGTAGAATAGCGGTCGTAAAATAGCGGTAGTGTCACCACCCATCATCGTTATTGGACAAAACGTGGTTGAGAATTTCATTCACGAAAAAAACGGAGTGTAATGGCCGCAAATAACGTCGTAACGGAGAATAGACGCAATAACGGACCGTTATTGTCGCTATTCCGTTCTCCTACTCACGGATCTAATAGTTCGAGAAAAAAACAAAATTTCAAGTTTTCAACCTGTAGAATAAAGCAATAAACTTGCAAAAATAAACGTAAAAGCAAAAGCAAAAAATAAAATTCAAACTCTCAGATCTGTAGCATCAAAATTAATCTGAAAATGAGATAGAAAATAGACGAATATTTCAAGTTTCAATAATTCAATCGGTACTTCGGCACCCAAATTCAAATCAGCTTCAAGTTTTTAATCAATATTCAAGATCAAATAAGGTAAGAAAAGAAAATTAAATTACTTTTTTTTTTGTAAAATTTTTGTAAAATGATGTCTGTTCTGTTGTAAGAGTCTGAGAGAGACGAACGAGGTATTCCGTAGGTATTGGGTAAGTAATAATGATAAAGAGATGCAAGAGAAAATGAGAAATTAAAAAAAAAGAGAAAAAAAAATAAAATTGTGGAAAGTGAAGCTTTGGATGCGCGAAGAAGATGAACAAAAGAAAATTCTAGAAAGTTACGTTTCTACGTTTTTAGATGGTTCAGTTACAATTAACCAAATTGAAGGACATTGGGACAAGCACGTAGGGAGGGATTGGGTGTGGTGGGGTGTTGGGGGGTGGGGAAAGATAAGGTATGGTGGGACATTTGGGGGGTGGAAAGGGATTGGGTGGGGAGAGATTAGGTGTGGTGGGGTGTTGGGGGGGTGGGGGTTGAAATTTTTATTTAATTTTGTAATTAATTTTTGAAATTTTTTTAGATAAAATTTAATTAGAGGTTTTGAAAATTTATAATTAAAAAAATAAGAGATTAATAATTTAATATAATATATATAGAGATTTTAGATGAAAAATTTTGATAAATTTTTTTGTATAAGTTAGATGAAAAATAATTAAAATTAAATATTATATTTTGATTGTGTTATATATTAATTTATAATTTTGTATCTGAATTTTAATTTTTATTTATTGTTTTGATATTTATATTATTGTCGATTCTTTTAATATTAGATTAATTCTTGGTTTTTTTGTATAATTATTGAAGATTGTATTTATTATATAATTATTGAAAGGTATTTGTGATAAAAAAATTTATATCAATTAGTGTATCAAAAAGATTAAGTTATTTAATAAATTTAGTATTTTATGATCTATTACTCTTACTAAGATTAAAAACTAAAAAATAAAAAATATAGGTTTGAAAATTTTATTAAAATATAAGTTTGAACTTTTTTAATTTTTGAAATTATTTTAGATAAAATCTAATTAGAGGGATTAAAGATTTATTATAAAAAAAAATTAAGGGATTAGTAATTTAATATGATATATATAGAGATTTTAGATGAAAATTTTTGATAAATTTTTTTGTATAAGTTAGACAAAAATTAATTAAAATTAAATATTATATTTTGATTGTGTTATATATTAATTTATAATTTTGTATATGAAATTTAATAAATGTTTTTGTTGTTTTGATATTTATATTGTTGCCAATTCTTTTGATATTAGATTAATTCTTGTTATTTTTGTGTAATTATTGAAGATTGTATTTATTATATAATTATTGAAAGTTATTTGTGATAAAAAAATTTATATCTATTAGTGTATCAAAAAGATTAAGTTATTTAATAATATTCTTAAGATTAAAAACTAAAAATTAAAACATTTAGTGTAAAATCAATTTTTAATGATGCAATAAGTAATATTAATATTTCTAAATATAATTTTATTTTGTTTCTATATAAAATAGTAAGTATGCCACCACATGAAGAGTTTCCGAGTAAAGGAGTAAAGGACGCGCCAAGTGATGATATAGGTTGGCATTTTGGAACACCTGTGCCAAATACAAGAGGAAATATTTCATGTAAACTTTGTGGTAAAGCTATAAAAGGAGGAATAACACATTTCAAAGAACACATTGCTCATAAAACTGGTAATGTTGCACCATGCCCCAACATTACTGGTATGTTATATTTTTATAATTTCTTTGAAAATATTATTGTTAATTTCTTAATAAAAATTATAAAATTACATAAGCATGTGTAACTAATTTTCTCCTTTTTTTTAACTATATTATTAATAGGTATAGTAAGAGAAAGTATGATGAAACTCTTTCAAGATAGCAAATAAAAAAAAGTTGACTACAAAAGGAGAAAAAATAAATTTTTATCACAATTAAGAGAGGAAGATGATTTTGAAGGATTTATTGATGATGACATCACTACTAGACAAGCTCTGCAAGATAGTATCCAATCACAACTTGAGTGGCACAGAAGACAAGAATTCAAACAAAGAACTAGTGATTGGAGTAACATATATGAAGAGGGACGAAGCTTTCATTGTTCAATTGCTGAATATTTTGAAGAAAGAATAAGGAAATCAACTTCAAATGAGTTTGAATTTTCATTAAGGGGAACTATACCTGAATTAGTTAGAAGTAAGAGTTCAAGGCAACCAAAAGTAAGTGATTCATTTTTAAAGACATTAAGAAGAAAGATGGGTGAATCAGTATCAAAATTTTTTATATATGATCAACTTTCTTTTCAGTTAACAAATTTCCATGGTTGCATAATTTGATTCTGTGGTAGCAGAAGTTGACCAACATGTAAAACTTCTAACACCTTATGAGGTCTTAGATGTGTATTTAGAGTCTGAGTATCAACAAGTTCATGAATGGGTTAATGGATTAAAAGCTCATTAGAATGAATTGGGTGTCACTTTGATGTGTGATTGTTGGACCAATAGTTTGAATCAAAGGCATATCATTAATTTCCTTGTTTACTGTAGTAAAAGGACCATTTTTTGAAAATTTGTAGATGTCTCAAGTGTTCGTAGTAGAGATGCAAACTTTTACTACAGATTATTAGATGAAGTTGTGGAAGAAATTGGAGAAAAATACATTGTTCAAATAGGCAACACTTAAGGCCGTAGGAAAAAGACTAATGGAGAAGAGAAAGCATTTGTATTGGACAGCATGTTCAGCTCATTGTTTGGACTTGTGCCTTGAAGATATTGGGAAGAAAAAAAATGTGGTAAAGGTTTTGGATGATGTAAAGAAAGTGAATTGTTTTATATACAATCACATTTAGACTGTTAATTTGATGAAAAATTATATACACAAGGGAAGCAAATACTTCATCCTGCTCTTACCCGATTTACCACTCATTTCATACAGTTAGAAGAAATAATGAGGCAAAAGCAATGTTTGAGAGAGATGTTTAATTCAAAGGTTAGTACTTAATAATTAGTACAACTATTTAAATTTAGCATCTTTTTATGATATCATTGTTTAAAATATTAATTTAAAATATATTACTCTAAAATTTATTGATGAATATATAGGAATTTAAAGATTCAAAATGGGGACAACAAAAATCAGGATTTGCTTATGAAGCCAAAAAAATCATTTTGGGAAAAGATTTTTAGAAAAAAGTAGGCGATATAATAAAAGTTTATGAGCCTTTAGTAAAAGTGTTGCACCTTATGGATGGTGATGAAAAGCCAACAATGGGCTTTATTTACGAGGCTGTAGATAGAGCTAAACAAGCAATTCAGCAAAATTGTCGTTATTCTACTGAATATGAAAAGATTATTGATAATAGATGGAGTTGCATGCACTCTAACTTACATTCAGCTAGTAAGTAAACCAAGAATATAGATGGTATTTAAAAAATATGTTTATTTTTTATACTTAAATTGTTTATATATTTATTTTTATTACTTTAGTATAATATTGTTATGAATTATGTTTAGGTTACTATCTAAATCCATAATTTCAATTTGGAGTGGAACATTCTGCAAATGTATTTAAAGAAACATTAGAAGGTATAAAAATAGTTATTGAAAGATTAAAACCTTTGATAGATACTCAAATCAGGATGATTAATCAGATTAGTATTTAATACTATTTTATAACTTTAACATTTATTTTATGTATTACAAATTGAATTATTTTTTATTTATTCATTTATTATTGTATTTTCAATCGATGTGGTTATTATTATTTCGAGACAAGCATGAAACATTTGGTACTCCACAGGCACAAAGAGCTTAGAAGCAAATGAATCTAGGTAAATAGTAAATTAAATAATTATAATTTATTTATATTATTTAATTGTATAGCATATTCGTATTTAATTTAAATAATTTTATACAGCTGAGTGGTGGATGATATATGGCACTTATGTTCCTGAATTACAAAAACTAGCAATCAAAATGCTTAGTCACACAATATCTACATTAAATTATGAACGTAATTATAGCATATTTAGCTATATTCACAGCAAAGCAAGAAACACATTGAAGTTTGAAAGACTTCAGAAACTTGTATATACCTATTATAATATAAGGCTTAGGATGAGATATCAAAAAAGAATGAGCATTGATGAGATAAATAATAGTTTTAATCCTATTAGCCTTGACCATATTTTTGAAGATGATGATCCACTAATAGAATGGCTGCAAGAGAAAAAAAATCCTCTGTTAGATGGTCAAAACTCTGATTGGTTGCCTGCAGGTAATTCTGATAATGAAATGAATGTGAAACAATCACACCAATCTCAAGAAAAGAATGTGTCTCATTCAAGTTCAAGTCCAACACCAAGTCAGAGTGATGATGGTGGTGGTTTAAGTCCAGATGATGATGATGGTGATGGTGATGGGATGAATTTAGTGATAATATGAATATAAATCGACCTTACAGCCCACTTGGAAGAGAATTTGGGCTTGCTGCTACTGGTGGACTTTTCATTAATATGCCAAAATATGGAGTAAATCCATTTGCTGAATCTAGTGAAGGTCAAAGTGCACGTACAGCTCGATCAAAAGGAAAAGCCATGAAGAACCACTATGATATTTCTAGAG